CCTTCTCCGTGCTGGTTTTGCTATTAAGCGCAGCAAAGTGAAAGGACCTGCCCAGGAGATTCAGTTCCTAGGCATAAAGTGACAAGATGGCCGTCGTCACATCCCAACAGATGTGACCGACAAAATCACTGCCATGTCTCCCCCCACTAATAAGAAAGAGACACAATCATTTCTGGGCGTAGTGGGTTTTTGGAGAATGCATGTTCCAAACTACAGCCTCATTGTAAGCCCACTTTATCAGGTGACACGGAAGAAGAATGATTTTGTGTGGGGTCCTGAGCAGCAGCAGGCTTTTGAGCAGATTAAACAAGAGATAGCCCGTGCTGTGGCCCTGGGGCCAGTACGGATGGGACAGGATGTGAAGAACATCCTCTACACTACTGCTGGAGAGAAAGGCCCCACTTGGAGTTTGTGGCAAAGAGCCTCGGGAGAGACCCGAGGCCGACCCTTGGGATTCTGGAGTCAAGCCTACAGGGGGTCGGAGGAGGGCTACACTCCAACTCAAAAGGAGATCTTAGCTGCGTATGAGGGGGTTCGGGCTGCTTCCAAAGTAGTCGGTACTGAAACACAGCTCCTTCTGGTACCTCGACTGCCAGTGTTGAACTGGATGTTCAAGGGAAAGGTTCCTTCCACCCATCATGCTACTGATGCCACTTGGAGTAAGTGGATTGCACTGATTACACAACGAGCACGGATGGGGAACCTCAGCTGTCCAGGAATCCTAGAGGTCATCATGGACTGGCCTGAAGGTAAAAAGTTTGGAACACCACCAGGAGAAGAAGTAGCTCGTGCTAAAGAGGCCCCACCATACAATGAACTATCAGAGAATGAAAAGAAGTATGCCCTGTTCACAGATGGACCGTGTCGTATTGTGGGAAAGCATCGCAGATGGAAATCTGCTGTGTGGAGCCCCACACGACAAGTTGCAGAGGCCACTGAAGGGAAAGGAGAATCAAGCCAATTTGCAGAGGTAAAGGCTGTCCAGCTGGCCTTAGATGTTGCTGTACGGGAGAGGTGGCCAATGCTCTATCTTTACACTGACTCATGGATGGTAGCAAATGCCTTATGGGGGTGGTTACAGCAGTGGGAGCAAAATAATTGGCAAAGAAAGGGCAAACCTATTTGGGCTGCTGACCTATGGAAAGATATTGCTACCCGAACAAAAAATATGGTTATAAAGGTGCGTCATGTAGATGCTCCTGTGCCCAAGAGTAGAGCTACAGAAGATCAGCGAAATAACCATCAGGTAGACCGAGCTGCCAGAATTGAGGTGGCTCAAATAGACCTGGACTGGCAGAACAAGGGTGAGTTATTTTTAGCTCGGTGGGCCCATGAGACCTCAGGTCATCAAGGGAGAGACGCAACATACAAATGGGCCAGAGACCGAGGGGTGGACTTAACTATGGATGCCATTGTACAAATCATTCATGACTGTGATACATGTGCCACAATTAAACAAGCTAAGAGGATGAAACCTCTCTGGGAGGAAGGGCGATGGCAAAAGTACAAATATGGGGGAGGCATGGCAGGTTGATTATATCACCTTGCCACGATCTCGCAATGGTAAGCATTATGTGCTCACCATGGTGGAGGCAACAACCGGGTGGCTTGAAACATATGCAGTACCCCATGCTACCGCCCGAAACACCATACTGGGTCTGGAGAGGCGAATCCTGTGGTGACATGGCACCCCGGAAAGAATTGAGTCAGATAATGGGACTCATTTTAAAAATTCACTTGTGGATACTTGGGCCAGAGAACATGGCATTGAGTGGATTTATCATATCCCCTATCATGCACCAGCCTATGGTAAGATCGAACGCTACAACGGGTTGTTAAAAACCATGTTGAAAGCAATGGGTGGCGGAACATTAAAACACTGGGAGAAGCATTTGGCAGAAGCCACCTGGCTGGTTAACACCAGAGGATCAATCAGTCGAGATGGTCCTACCCAATCCAGCTCCCTACATATTGTAGAGGGAGATAAGGTTCCTGTAGTACATGTAGAGAACATGTTAGGAAAAGCAGTTTGGGTTTTTCCTGCTTCTGGGAAGGGCAAACCTCTTCGCGGAACTGTCTTTGCCCAGGGACCTGGGTCCACCTGGTGGGTGATGCAGAAAAACGGGGATGTTCAGTGTGTACCACAAGGGAATTTGATGTTGGGGGAGTGCAGTCTGTAATCCCATGTGTTAAGCATGATGTAGTGATGTAGAATAAGGGGTGGAATGTCATGGTTTTATGATTTTTGGTCATCAGTATTCCACACCATAACATCATGTAATGCACTGGGGGTGGGGTTTGATATCTGCCGAATGTTTGTCCGTCGGAGAAGAACTACATTTCCCCAGGAGGCTTTGTGGTCAGCAAGGGGATATAACTCCAAGCAAGGTCACCTGATCTCTCTTCTTCGCCTGCTCTTCGCCGCCTGCGCTTCGCCATCTGCACTTCGCCGTCTGTACTTCAGTCACTCAACTGGACTGCACTTCTCACCCCAGCACTGTGGTGAGGTCTATACAATTCAAACAGACTCCCTCTCCCTCTCCCTCTCCCTCATTGTATTTTACTAATACTATATTTAGTAAAATCATTTGTTCCACCTCAGATCAGTGCTGTTGTTTTCAAGTATTTTGGGGTCCCCTGCTTCCCCTTTCCCAGAGGCGCGGATCCGCAGATCCCTCCGCCCTGCTGGTCATGGAACTGGGCCGGACCAGCCCATAAACCGTTGAAAGAAGCAAGGAAAGCCTTGAAGTTAAGGGAAAAAAATGAAACATGAGAAACATGGAAACTGACCTTAAACAAAGATTGACAAATTTTGTTAGGTCAATCCAATATAAAGCTTATCCATTACAACTTTTAAAGAGAAAATTATTTGTTTTAAAAGAAAACTAAGTTCCAGAGCTGTTATATTACAGATTATACTATTTATAATTACATGGAAAGACCATGTAAAATTTATTTCCACATCTTGGAATGTTTTCTTTTTTATGAAATCCAAATTTGTTATTTTTAAAGACTATAAAAGAAAAAAGAATTGACTTAAAATTTTCCACATTCAGTAATCTGGTCTTGAAATAAAGTTTTTTTCTGCCTTGATTTTGTCACATAATTTAGTATTATTTGCATTAAATATTTTAAGAAAACTAAATCCATGTGTCCTACATGTTTCATTAAATAGATACATATTGCATGCATCAGCAAAGTCATGCATCATCATGTCTGCTAAGAGGTACATTTCAATTTATAGCACCACAACACCTGTGCCAGCTTTGCTACTAAAATACTCAGTGTGGTTTTATCAACAAAATGGTGTTTCACATTATACTGATGGCACTCAAAAAAATCATTAACTGGAACCATCATCCTCTAAGAGGACATGAAAGTTGCCGATTACAATATGCAGGTGGCATTCAGCCAGAATTAGAGAGCATTTAGCAACAGTCTCATAAAGCTTTCTCTTCCTGCTGGAAAAAAAAAAGAAGCTTCTCCTAGCTTTGAAAACAACCACCAACTTGTAGTTTATTTGAGGAAAAAAAAAAAAAAGGGAGATGATAACTATTTTTAACAATAGGCAACAAAAACACCTCTGAGTCAGAAGATAAATACCATTAAAATAGAACTAGGAAAAAAAAAAAAGTTACGTATGAATCAAAACACATCCAGAGAGTTTCAGCTTATTTTGCACTTGAGAAATTTTACTTTGTTCTTCTAAAAAAATGTATCGTATCCCAATGATCATATTTCACTGAGGGGCTTTAGAAAACCAAATCCGCAGCTCAATACTAATGACACTTCAGCTAAACCCTCCTTCCCATGGAAGGTAGCTTTCCAGCTTGCAATATTAACATTACATTCTATAGCTATGGTAAGTACCAGTCAGTTAATGAATTCTTTACATTTTTTTCCTTCCCTTGGAAGTTTCTTCCCCCCAACTCAACACTCACACCTAAGAGGCGCGACTATAGATTATAAAAAATAAGATTATAAAATCTTATGCTGCAGCAGAAAGGACTCTAACACTGTAAGTTTGATGCTAGTCGAATTTTTAAGCCAATTTATCTGGAGAAAAATCATTCAAAATTAAGTGATGCTAATTATTACACTAAGACGACATTCAGCTTTCAACAATTAGTGGACAGACTCACTGCTTGATTATTAAGAACAGTTCTTAATTTCTGTTTTTACCAGTTCAGAGGAACCACAGATGTGCCTCAGGCCTTTGGAAAGGGGAAGAAATCCAAAAGATGAAACTTATAAGATAATTAATTTATTTTAAAAAAAAAAAAATTGTCTCAGAGCTGAAACCTCCCTAAGCTGAAGAGAGAACGGCAGCAAGCCTAAGAACAGCAACGGAGCTTCCCTTCAGAAAATAAATGGCCATCCAGAGGTGCACGTTTATAGGCCGCGAGCAGACAGGGCTCAGCACAAACAAAAGGCTGCTCGGGACGGCACCGGGACGGCCCTGCCTACCACCACTTTGTCAACCGCTCTACCGTGGGTGGAGAAAAAAAAATGCAGCAGCTTCTTTTGCCTGCCTTCCCCTTTCACAGGGGTGGGGACAATAGAAAAAGACAGAAATAAATATGAAAATAAGAACAGCGTTCAGTCGCCGGCTTCTCTGCTGAGCATCGCCAGTCACAAAGCAGATCCCTCCGTTGAAGTTACATCACTCCCTTAGAATGGGAATACAGTCTCCCACGTTCATCCTTCAACCCTCCACCTCCACAGCACACAGGAAGAGAGCACCCACCTCCGGGGCCATTTAAGCGGAGAGAGGAATTAATCGACGGCACTCGCCGGCGGGTGAGCAGCGGCAGAGAAGAGAGAGAGTATTGTTCTTACTAAATGAAGAGCAGCCTTCACTCCCATCGCATTCATAAAGCACCGCTTCCCAAAGCAAGTGTCTTCACGTCAGTCCCCCCGACCCCTAGATGTTTACCCAGGGCAGGGCCTCCCCCCCCCCCTCCCCCCCCCCCCAACCACTGCGACTCCCTCCCCTCCGGCTGGCCGTTATCCTAGAAATGCCTTTGTTCGCAGCTCTTCGCCCGCTGCCCGCTCCCTCCTCCTCCCTCGCACCACAGATCCGCTCTTGGGATCTCACATTCATTTTTTATTTATTTATTTAGGAGGGCGGAACAGATCCTCATCCCTGTGTGGCGCCTTCTGCTGATTCATTTCTAACTAGCGGCCCTGAGGAGGTGGGGGAGGCGCGGTGGAGACATATCCTCCCTACTATGATCCAGGGTACAGCGATGACCCGGATTACTGGGGGCGAACCCTGGAAAGGGACAGAGCCAAATAGGATTACACGGCCTGGATTACCGGGAGCCCATTACGGCACAACACGAGAGTTAAAGGACCCGGTCTCTGACAGGCTCGCTGCCTGCCGGGTGTGAAAGGCGGCACCGGGCGTGAGAAGGGAGCCACCGACAAGGCAGAGCAGTGGGTAGTGGACGTATCAAGGAGAGAGATGAAGAAGTTAGATATTCTGGAGACAAAAGGAAGGAAACTAACAGAAAAAGTTATAAGGACCGAATTACAGGGAGCGCTCGGGACGGAACAGCTACCCGAGGATGGGGCCACCAGAGGAGCCTCGGCAAGGAGGCAACTCCTAGCAACACAAGTGTGTAACACGCAGGTGTGTGACTTGCAGCACGATCAGCAGTACTCTTTGCCAAGGTAACCGAGACGACGGCCCAGCTCCAGAGTGAAGCCCTGGCCGGTGACTCACCGACTTGCAGGACATTATCGACGCAGCCGCCATCGAGCAGAGCTATGCCCCTGCGGAAAGGTAGGCGGTTCTCATCAGCGACGGCATCTACGGCCCCACCGGACGTGGTGTTGGCGGCTGCGCCCCCAAGGGTGGTAAAACCCTCGGCACCGGTGTCGAAGGAGGAGTACATACATATCTCCTTTTCGCTGCGAGGAAAGGACCAGTAGACGATCCTGCGCTGTACCGGCTCCGGAATCCGTTCGAACCGCTCCTCCACCCGCTGGAAAGGCCACTTCTCTGCCACCTTACGAGCCGCAATATCTAGCAAGGACTCGGGGCTTTGCGTCTTGCCAAGCGGCAACAGCACCAGGGCAGCAGTGACGGTGGCTGATGATGATCCAGCGCAGAACGTTCCGCTCCCAGACCCGGTATCGCCCACCTGCTGGCCTAACCTACACCCCGAACCGTAACCAGGTGTACAACAGAAACGCTTTACATAAGGAGGGAGCTGACCGCGCTCCGCCATGATCGCACCGCTCTTAAGCGGCCAGCGGAAGTAGCTGCAGCCTATAAACAACACCAGGAAGAGCCACGAGCCTGGCACAGCCCTTCCTCCCCTCCCTCCCCAGTGGGGGAGGGGTCTTCCACCACACCTACAGCAAAAAGAGTGACAGTCTACTAACCTAGCAAGATAAGAATCATAGGACAATTCAGGTTGGAAGGGACCTTTAAAATCATACCGTTCCAACCCCCCTGTTATAGGCAAGGACATCTCCCACTAGACCAGGTTGCTCAAAGTCCCATCTAGCTTGTCCTTGAACGCTTCCAGAGAGGGGGCATCCACAATCTCACTGAGCAACCTGTTTCAATGTCTCACCACCCTCACAGTAAATAATTTCTTCCTGATATCTAGTCTAAATCTACCCTCTTCCAGTTTAAAGCCATTTCCTGTTGCTACCTGCCCTTATAAAAAGTTTCTCCCCAGATTTCCTGTAGGCCCCCTTCATATACTGGAAGGTCTCTTTGGAGCTGCCTTTTCTCCAAGCCAAAGTCCCAACTTTTTCAGCCTGTCCTCATAGGGAAGGTGCTCTAGCCTTCTGATCATTTTTGTGGCCCTCTCTGGACTCACTCCAACAACTCCATGCCCTTCTTGTGTTGGGGGCCCCAGAACTGGACGCAGTACTTCTGGTGGGCTCTCATGAGAGCAGAGTAGAGGGGCAGAATCACCTCCCTTGACCTGCTGGTCACACTTTTTTTGATACAACCCAGGATACAGTTGGCCTTCTGAGCTGCAAGCGCACACTGCTGGCTCACTTTGAGTCTTTCATCAACTGACGTTCAAAGCCTTCTCAGGGCTGCTCTCAAGCCATCCTCCTCCCAAAGTGTATCTGTGCTTGGCATTGCACCAACCCAGGGCATTTGGCCTTGTTGAACTTCATGAGGTTGGCATGGGCCCACCTCTCAAGCCTGCCTAGGTCCTTCTGGATAGCATCCCTTCCCTCTAGCTTGTTAGCAGCACCACTCAACTTGCTGTCATCTGCAAACTTGCTGAGGGTGTACTCAATCCCACTGTCTATATCATCTACCATATAAGAACTATTAGGTCACTGCCTGAATCAGTGACTGAGCACCTGGTGAAGCGGTGTGGCCAGCCCTGGGAGCACAGGTACAAGCAATTCACCTTTGGGACCAGAAGGAAGGGGGGATAGGACCATGGATTCCCTCCTTCCTTAATCTCATTTAAGGGCTAGCACCTAGGAAAGAGTTATTTTTATTTGGAGGTTGCTTGTTTCTGGGAGTTTTTTTAGAGAGCCCTTATCTTTAGAAGAAGGTAAGTTACTCCTTTTTTGGGTTATCCTGAAACTGGTTAGAGGCAGATACATTTTTCTCCTTTGTACAATACAATTTGTCAGCCTGCTGGGAGATTCCATGAAAGGTAATGCCAGTCTTCAAATGGCTTTCTTAAAAGGTTTAGTGGGCTAGTTTGGATGGGGAAAACCCATCTCCCTGGAAAAGGAGTTAATGAGAAACATCCTGGGATTCACAGGTTCCTCCTTGGTATGGGCTGGTCTCAGTAGTTAAAAAAAAAAAAACAAAAAAAAAACCACACATTGTTAGTTCCCCAGTCTCTGCATAGCTGCCTATTTTGAGGCCCTCTATATAATCAATGAATATTAACAAGATAAGAAATAAACAAGAGTTTGACAAAGCAGACTATGACAACAAAAACAGAATAAATAGAAAGCTTACCCCTATACTACAATCACTCAAAAAACTCAAGCAGAACTAATCTTCAGAAGAGATCCTTCCCCACTGGTAGCCAGCTCTTAAATAGGTCTAGGAGAGGTGGAGCCAGGCTCCCCCCCTTCCTGCAGCACAGGTGAATTGCCTTCACCTGTGCTCCTCTGGCTGACTCATGGCTCGCCTCAGGTGATCAATCAGAGGTTTAGGCCATGACTCAGCAGTTCCCATACATCCTCCTAAAAGGTATTTTGATAAGCAGAGAGGCAACTTGCTGCATTTACTGTAGCACAGTCTCTGATAATCACTTTAAATCATCTAAATACTTCAGAACAAAATCTCGAGGAGAAAAATCAGTTGTTATGCAGTCAAGTTAAACAGCTTGAGCATAGGATTGCTGTACTAACAGGCAAACCCACCTAAACTGGCCTGATTTAAGTCAGAGTCCTGTGTTTGTTTTTTTTTATGAACAAATAGGACCCTGAACAATCAGACCCATATGGTTCTGACAATTTCAGAAAAGAAACTGCCAAAAAATCTGAACTACATCTCCAGTAGAACTGGACCCTCTAGAAATTTATTTGATATATACACAAAAAAGTAAAACAATCTCAAGACCGATCTATGGGGGTATCATCTAGCAGAAAGTTGTTAGTTAGGGTAGTAGGGTTAGGTTGTGGTTGGACTTGATGATCTTTAAGGTCTTTTCCTACCTGAACAATTCTATGATTCTGTGATCTGAAGAATCGTTCCCCCACCCAAATCACCATACACGTGTTACGTCTTGCCCTCATACAGAAGCCCAGTTAATAGATTTTGTCCAATGTTTTTGACAAAGGCTGAGAGGAAGTGTATCAGCCTGGTTATTAAGACTAAGGGACATGGGAGCTGAGAGTGCTGTGGTGGTAAATGGCCCAAAAATTTTTAAGTTAGCCTCTATCACAACACAACTGGTATTAAAACAATGGCTACAGGCAAATTGTATGGGAACTGCTGAATCATGGCCTGAACCTGAGGCAAGCAATGAGTGTCACGGAGTTGACCAGATCAATCTATGTCCCTGACAGGGGCGACAGGCCTCTGCCCTCCCCCCCC